AATAAATAAATAAATAAATAAATAAATAAATAAATAAATAAATAAGTGTCACAGGTTTCACTCACCTTTAAATGGACCTCCTTTAAAATCCAAAGCTACTTGTCCTTCTCGAGTCAGATATCCGAACCACTCCCCGCCCTCAGGATCAGGGAACTGAGCAGGAACAGAAACAGGAGATCAGGTTTTCAACAGGTCTGGGGTCTGGGGTCTGGATCAGTGCAAGCTGTTGGTGAGGGAGGACTGGACTCACGTGGCTAAAGGTGAAATCATACACCTGCAGGAAGCTGTGGAGCAGCTGGGGTCTCCTGGTGCGACTGTAGGCCAGGAGGAAGGCCACGAGAGCCTCGCAGTGAGGCCACCACAGCTTCATGCTCCACTCCAGCTGCTCAAACACAAACAGCCTCAGCTCGGCACACCTGGAAACACCTGCAGCTCAGCGGCCGACAGGCCGGGGCCTCACCTGCGTGGGGCAGCGGCCRTCCACATCCAGGAAGTAGAACAGACCGCCGTGCTCTGCGTCCCAGCCGCCGGCGTACGGGAGCTCCACGAACTTCTCCACGGCCGTTTCCTGGATCTGCTCGTCTCCCGTCTCTGCGGCGAAGCGCAGCAGGAACCAGCCCGCCTCCAGAGCGTGTCCTGAGTCAGCGGGAGGGAAACCACACAAATGAAACGCTGAGCCGGGCCACGGACAGGAAACCAGCAGAGGAGCTTACCCGGGTTCTGCAGCCGACCAGAACAACCGGGCAGCTCCTCTCCGTCTGCAGAAACGTTCTCCAAGATGGCCGCTCCGTCTCTCTGCATCCGATCAGAAAGAAACAGATTTAAATCAGACTTTAACAGACACAACAGGTGAAAACTTCCTGAAGTTTATTTTAAAAACTTTAAAAAAAGAGTTTGAACTCCTGAACATAAATATTAGATATAAAGTATGAGATTTGACCTATATGTAGAAATGTTACATTTACATCATGGATCAGTCAGCAGCAGCATCTGATCAATATGTGATCCATGATGTGATGTAAATGTAACATTTTCTACATATAGGTCAAATTAATCACTGCAATAAAATAACTTTGTCTGTTTTTGTCACTTTTACAGTGGATTGCATCAACTCTGTTACATCCAGAAGGGAAACTTCACCAAAGTGAAACATAAATCTGTGGATCTGTGTTTGATTACTCTGCCTGGCTTTCTCAAGGACCAGGATGTGACACAAACATCTGAACTTTGGAACTGAAAGTGAAAGTAGTCAAACTGAATTTTTTATAAACTAAAATACAGTTTCAAAGCAAATTAATTCAAATTAAAAACTTTAAATTCAGTTTCAATTTAGTGAAATTTATTTTCAAACCAATGCATTCAATTTCAAATTATGCACATTCAGATTCAATCTGAGCAATTCAAATTCACTTCCTGCTGGTACAAGATTTATCCCATAATAAAGATTCATTTCCTTAATCAATATCCACATGAATGTTACAGTTTGAGAAACATTTACTGTGAAAAACAGACATTATTTATTTACCTTACCCTGACCAAAATGTAATATATGCAAGTATCCTTTAAGTATACTAATTTTAAACCTAAAATAAATTAAAGAGTTAAAAAACTTTTGGTTTTGAGTATTGTTTACTCAAGAGGAGGGATTGTCATGGACTAATTATTTATATCTGTGTCACCTTGACACTGTCCACTGCTCATATCTTATGATAACTTATGTCGGCTCTTGATCCGTTTGTTCCAGACGTCAGGACTCCAGCATCGGACTGACCTCTCTTGCGCGATATGTTAACTCTTTGAGCTGAGAGCTGTCATTGGCTGATAGTAACATGAGGCGGATTGTGATTGGTTGTACATTGTCACATGGTGTTAACATGAGGTTATATCATTGGTCTGCCATCTGATGACGGTGGCCACATTCAACAGACCTCCATGATTGTTTTCTGTTCATTGTTCGCCCAGAATTAAATAATTACCGACCATACACGCAGACTTCTTTTTTCTGTGCACTTATTTCAACGTGTTTCTGCATTTTTAATAAACGTGTCCACGACAGTTTACTAAAAAAAGTAAACTGGAAGTATACTTCCAGTTTACTTTTTATGTACTTATCTGAGATACAAACTCATTTTCACAGGGGGCCACATGAGCGTTATGGTGGCCCTCAAAGAGCCAGTTGTAATGAATTCAACATTTCATGTTTAACTTTGACTGAACAGTGTTTTCACATGTCCAATGTGACCCCAGTGACCCCAGTGAACCCTATGACCCCAGTGACCCCTGTGACCCCAGACAGGAGGTAGCAGGAAGATTTGACCTTTGACCTGATCAGAACAGTCTTCATGATGAGATAAAAGACTTATTTTTCTCTTTAAAGGAGGATTTCAGTTGACCAGTCTTGTTGGACGTGTGTTGGACGTGTGTTGGACATGTGTTGGACGTGTAATGGACGTATGCTGGACGTGTGTTGGACGTGTGTTGGACGTGTATTGGACATGTGTTGGACATGTGTTGGACGTGTGTTGGACGTGTAATGGACGTGTGTTGGACGTGTAATGGACGTGTGTTGGACGTGTAAAGGATGTGTGATGGACGTGTGCAGAACGTGTGTTTGACGTGTCCACAGACCTGGATGTGTTGCAGGATCTGCTGGACACACCATCGGCCCAGCTCGGCGTACTTCTGCTTGGCGTCCGGCCGGCCCTCGGACACCTGCTGCACCAGACACAGAAGCATCATGGGGACCGCCATGCTGCTGGTGGGAACTTCTCCTGGGAGCTGGGGCCGGCCCAGACCCRACGAGTCCACCCGGACCCAGTGGATCAGCTGCTCCATCATCTGCTCGGCCTCCAGCTAGAACAACAGCCCAGCAGAGGACGGCCAATCAGAGAAAGGAGGGAGCGCCGCCACCGTGAGGGGAGGTGTCTGTTCGTACCTGCAGGTCTGCGTCCCCGGTCACCCTGCTCAGCTCGTCCATGGCCAGGACGTAGAAACACTCGCTGAAGATGGTCCTCTGGACTTTAACGGCTTTCCCATCTCTCGTCAGGCAGAAAGCACATTTCCACTGACCGCCGCTGCTGGACACACGAGCGAACTTCCTCAAGAACTCAGCTCCTGTGAGGAAAACAGATCAGAGTCGTGTTGGTTTAACAGTTAGATGCTTCAAACAAAGACAAAAATGATGTCATCTGAGGGACGGAGGAATAAAACAACCTGATGAGGATCAGATCAGCTGCTKTAAGATATGTTGTTAGTCAATAACTGGCCGAGGCACAAGACAGAAACCTGCTAACAGGTTAATCATAAAATAATAATCGTCTTCCTCCTGCAGGGTTTTATCAGAGAGAAATTGAGGACAAAAACATACAACATATGGTGTGGTATGAGAGACAAAAATAAGACTATTACGCAACCAGTGGTTGCTACATCCATGTARCAGGAGGCTATAGCTATTCCTCAACCAGCTATTGATCTGATTAATGATAGACCGGCACCGCTAACTGAGAGGCTGGAGCTGGTAAAYGAGAAGGAGACTATTCATTTTTGTTAGCATCAAAGAGGCTAGTGGCTAACATGAATAAGCTGGCATTAGCATTGGAGTGTTATGATTTTCAGTCAGGAATGAACCCATGATGCAGGCAGTATCAAAGCTCCAAAAAACAAAGAATTTATTTAAACAAAAGGTGCTGACTGGGCAGCTCAAAAGCCTCTGAGTAACGTGGCAAAACAGGACAAGGCACAATACTGAACACAACCAAAGAATGACCCGACAGGGAAGTGAAGACAGGACACAGAATATAAAGGTGAGACTAATGAGCACAAACAGGGAACACCTGGGGGAGAAACATGAGGATCAGGTGTGAGTGGGCGGGGCTGGAGCAAAGGCAAACAGGAGGAAGAAAACAGACGAACAGGACAGAAAAATCAGAATAAAGTCAAAATAAAAACATGAACCCAGACGAAACATAACATGGAGAGGCTGGCGGCTAGCATGGATAAGCTGGATTTAGCATCAGCGAGGCTAGCAACTAGCATGGATAAGCTGGCATTAGCATCTGAGAGGCTAGCGACCAGCATGTATAAACTGGTGTTAGCATCAGAGAGGCTAGTGACTAGCATGAATAAGCTGGCGTTAGCATTGGAGAGGCTAGCGACTAGCATGTATAAGTTGGTGTTAGCATCTGAGAGGCTAGGATAAGCTGTAGTTAGCATCAAACAGGCTAGCAACTAGCATGGATAAGCTGGTGTTAGCATGGGAGAGGCTAGGGAATAGCATGGATAAGCTGGCATTAGCGTTGGATAGGCTAGCGACTAGCATGGATAAGATGGCATTAGCATCGGAGAGGCTAGCGACCAGCATGTATAAACTGGTGTTAGCATCAGAGAGACTAGTGACTAGCATGAGTAAGCTGGCGTTAGCATCTGAGGCTAGCAACTAGCATGGATAAGCTGGAGTTAGCATCAGAGAGGCTAGCGACTAGTGGACAGAGTTGGCAGTTCAGTAGATCATTGGCCTAGGCATACTAGTTGCTAGCCTCTCCAATGCTAAGCTGCTCAGTTAGCGGTGCCTGCCTATCATTAATCAGAAAAATAGCTGGCTTAGGAATAGATATAGCCTCCTGCTACAAGGATGTAGCAACTGCTGTTTTGCAATAGACTTTTTTAGATAAAACATAAACATTCAAACTTATCCCAGACAAAAACAAAACTAGCATTCCCTGAAGCGATGAAAAAAAAACTTGTATAATTAGTTTGTAAAGAAAAGGAGATGAGTGTTTTTCTGATAAAAACAGTTGAAACTCACCGGTTTTAGCTGCTTCAAGGATTTCAGGTCTTCTGAACCGGTCCACGGTCCGATAGAGGCGGCAGTACATCCACACCTGTGAAGGAAAAACATCCCCTCAGAACCCGGTTCCATGGATTGAATGTTGGACCCGACCGGGGACCGACCTGCCTGCCCTGCAGCCAGACGTACTTCAGCTCATCGTAAACGCTCCCGTCCCGCGCGAGACACGTGAAGAAGCCCCTGAAACAGGAAGTGAACGGGATCGAAGCATCGCATCAAACGAGTTGATTCAATGAAATATCTGAAATATAATCTTAAAGAAGTTTCTGGGGCTCTTTCTTTGAGCAGCAGCAACAAAAAACATTATTTTAAATCAAATAGCCTTTTTTTGTCATTTTCCCGCGAACTTGCTAAAGTTTTTTTTAAGCTTTCCAGCTCCTGAATCAATCCATCCAATCTTTTTTAGGTTTTCTCTTTAAAATTAAATTAAAAATTCCTCATTAAAATAACATAAAATGAGAATTCAGATCAAATATCAATGAGTTATACTGATTAGAAGGACAAACCAAGACTTATCTCTGGAATAGATGATCTCAGGATTACCTCAGGATGAAAATGTAGCTTAAATAGCAGAAATCTGAAGATATACTTAGATTATTCTGACCAAACCTGACTTAACCCTCAGTTTGATGTGATGGCTCACATGTTAAAACTGAAGACAGAACCAAAACCTGGAAGCTGAAGTCACAAGGGAGGAGCCTCCTCTAGTTTTAAGCCACGCCCCCTCTCTGTAAATGAATGGGATGTTCTTTAAAAAAAAAACAGTCTGATTGATGAACGACGGCTGAAAATTTGCTAAAGAATTTGAAGTTGAGGAGAACTAAGGAAGGACAGCTAAAACAAGCGGAACAATAGCTATAAAAACAGCTATAAGCTAAATGTTGCAAAAGACTAGCTAAAGAAGAATATTTAGACTGTCACTATTTAGGAATGCTGAAATCACAAATCTATGCGGTACCCGTGGACGGTGTCATGGGAATATTTGAGCCAGAAGTTCACGACGTCGTCCAGCTGCGTTCGGATGCGCTGCCGACATTCCTCCAGCTTCTCCGCAGACATGATTCCTTCCTGGTTTTTTTTACAAAACAGAAATAAAATCAAAAATCATCTAATGTTGTGAAATTTGTAGTCCCTAACTCACAAACACAATCTGTTGGTATGTCTTCGGGATGACTCTCAGCTACTACCACAACAAATTGTAGCTTGTTAGTAAAACTGACGGAGTTAGAGCCATTATTGACTATAGAGTCGGTTAAAACTGCACGGCTGTGGCGGCCATCTTGAATCAGTTGTATGCAAAGATCTTATGATTATTTTGTTCCGAGAGTTTCATTAAAACTCATCCAGTAGTTCAGGAGCATTTTTGCTAACAAACACCCCGAGGCAAAAAACGTTATCGCCTGCCTTTTTACCTTTCAGCGACAGGAGATAATAAGCATTGGGTTAAGATTTGTGCACAGAATATCCTCACTTCAGACAAGTTTTACCAAATAGTTAAAGTAGTGACTCATCTTTTTATTTGAAGATCTTTGATTGCAGTTTTATTATTATTTTTTAAAAACACCTTACAAGGTCACAAAATGAGGTCATATTTTATGATATGAAACGTGTAATCACATTAAGTGCAAAATAAAGTTATTTTTTCACATTTATAACAGTTTTGTGACCATAAACAAAAGGTTTTTCAAAATAAAATGACTTCAGTTCGGTTTATTACTATGTAATTATAAGTGAATGAGTCATTTTTGTATATTTAAATTTCAATAATCAAATAAATAAATAAATAAAATGTCGACTCGGTTCATCTAAGCCGTACAACCGATTCTTTGGTATTAAAGCTTGTAATTCTTTGAAGTATTTATCTGTTTTCTTTGATTTACCTGCAATAAAACAAAACAAAATCTTCCTTGGCGTGTTTACTGAGGTTAACGGAACCGAGAAAGTTCGTGTCAAACCGGTTCGAGTCGCTAAGCTTAAAAAAWWTTTACCCTCGGTAAATTTAAGAGTTTTTTGTTTACCTGCAGATCCAGAGAACAAGCAGCTCAGTCAGGCGACTCTGCGGGTGACGGGTCACGTGACCAGAGGCAGGAAGTGGGAAAGCTCCAACAGCCAATCAGAGCAAAGAATCTCCTTTTCTCCATTTCTTCAGTTCCCCATGGATCTTCAGTGTTTTTTGACCAAATATTTAAGGACTTGCTGCCCACAATGCAGATGTCAAGATTTTAGCTAATAAGACTGAATTGAAGCAGTGAATAAAACTTAACTCTGAGGGTTTCATCAACATCCACCCAGTGATTCATGAGATATTTTGCTAACAGACAGTCACTATGTTAACTTAAGCATATCAAAGGGTTTAACAAAGATGTTGCACAATTAGTCAGCCTTCAGAGTGTGTCTTGGGGATTACTCTCAACCAGTACCACACTGGGTTTCAGCTCGATATCTCTGAGTGGTCCTTTTGCCATTTTTGTGTTTGTCAAGTTTGATTAGCTGTGGCAGCCATCTTGAATTGAACTGACTCTTAAAGTTAAGCGGTTGTAGACACACATCCACAAATCATTAAAAAATTAACTTAAAATCCAGCCAATAGTTCATGAAATATTTGTCTAACAGACAAACAGCTGGTGGTTACACACTCGCCTTTCATAATGAACTCTGGGTTCAGGAGTTTCATTTGTTCTGCTTCATATTTGCCTTTCACCTGTTAACCACTGTTGTGCCATCGATGAGGTCATTATTAGTAATGATGAGGTCATTGTTAATGATGACAGCTTCAGCCCCACACACTGAACAACGCAGTGACACTGATGAAACACAGGAAACTTCTCTGGGTTTGGTAATAAATTAAATTCTTGAAATGAAGCGTGGAGACGTGCTCTGACAGGAAATCAGTTCTTCCCTGTCGGAGCAAAGATCTGATCTGAGAAGATCGTTAATCTGCAGATTGTAAAACCTGTAGACGATGGCAGGAGGTTTCAGCAGGAGCAGTTTCTGTGATCTGCTYGGTGCAGGTGTGTGTCTGTGTCACCATGACGACCATAAACATTTAAAACAACTAGATTTATATCATTATTCTCTGCAGGATTCACCATCCTTCTGCTGTCAAGCTTCCCCCTCGTCCAGATCAGCTTAGGTAAGATTCTGGGTTCCACTGGTTTATTTTACTGGTTTATTTCACTGGTTTGTTTCACTGGTTTATTTCACTGGTTTGTTTCACTGGTTTGTTTCACTGGTTTGGTTTCACTGGTTTATTTCACTGGTTTGTTTCACTGGTTTTGTTTCACTGGTTTATTTCACTGGTTTGTTTCTCTGGTTTGTTTCACT